GGGGGGGGGGGGGGGGGGGGGGGGTTACAAGAGCAAAACAGGTGGGAATTGTACTGAGTACGGGAAAACTCGTACGTCGACGGTGTATATAAACCGAAACAAGTGAGAGAGCCGGAGCATCGTATCGGGTGCATGGAATATGTATGCCTTGGGTTGCTTTCGAGAGGGATGGAAAATTTTCGGCGGAGGGGGGGGGGAATACAGGCTGGGAAGGTACTTTGGGCATGAGCGACGTCGTAAATCACCGGGTGCGAGTGGTGCGCCAGTCGGGTATGCTCGCTTCTCCATGGAACCCCTGAGCCCCCCCTGTGGCGACGCCTCGTTATTCTCCCGCGAGTATCTCCTTCCATCCCCCTCGCCCCCAACGCTACCACCCGCTGGTCGCCGTGTGCACATGCACAACCTCGCGGAAATATCTTTATTTGGATATTCACATATTGTGTTTAATTAAATTATCATCTTTGTGGGGTGATTCCGGGAAAATTGGAAAATAGTGGCGGCGAGGGGCGGAGCGAGGGGGAGGGGGGGTCGAGGGAAGTTCTGCGTGAAGTGGAGGGGGACGACCTCATTTGGTCCGGTGGCTTGATCTTGGGGTTGGGGGGAAACAAGCTTTCGGAAGAGGAATTTGTTTTTGTGGGTTTTGAAGGGGGGGGGGAGGGCTGGAGGAATGGGTCGTCAATCCTGGAACTTGAGAATTTGTGGGTTTGAATTGTGTAATGTCATGTGGGAAATTATTGTCTAGTGAGGGGTAAAACAAGGCGCTGTTGAAAAATTTTGAATGAGATTTTCACTGTCGACTTTTTGGAAATTTTTGGAACGTTTTAATTAACAATTTTTATTTACTTCTCACAAATTAATTGAAATTGTCAATTTCAAGGACTTTTGTCGCTGAAAATTTAGAATTTCATGAAAAAATGTTTTTTCGAAAAATTATTCATTAAAAAATATTTGAATCCCGGAAAAAATAGACCAAGGGAAATTTTTAAATTATGTGGCTTTTATTAGGTTATGGCTATGTGGCCAATTAAAAAAAAATCATTTATTTTTTTAAATAAAAAATTTAGAATTTTATTGAAGAATTGTTTTTGGAAAAAATTTCTCCCCAGCCAATATTTATCGGACACACAAAAGTCCCGGTGAGCACAAACAACAGTCGCGACACCTCAAAAAATATGGAAACCCGAAAAATAGCAATTTTTCGTGAAAATTCCCATTGATTTTCGCTCTAGATAAAAAAACTGACACAAATAACGGGAAAAAATGTGAAAACATCAGAGCCTTCCGTATTCCGTGCACAAATAAATCCATCAGAGGCGGGAAATAACCGAAGAGAGTAGTGAAAACAAAATCGCAGAAACAAAAATCAGAGTTGAAAAAAAAAACAACTGAAACAGTAAAAAAAATCGCAACAAAGACTATTGGGGTGGAGGAATCCGTTGTTTACTCTCGAAAACAGTGAGCCAATGCCTAGGGAGAACCTTCCACTGGCCCCAGTGTAAACGTAATATCGTTTATATACGGTGTGTTGTTAACGGGTATCGCTGGGGTTGTTTGATTTCGTATTTTATTGACTCTTCCTTCATTTTTTTTTCGTACCCGAGGCTCGTTATTCGCGATAAAATACGAATGAGCACTATGTTATTTTGTTTTCCAAAAATCGAAGCCTGGAAGTCATTTTTTAATTAGGTTCAGATAGGTACAGATAATTATTTCAGTAGCGAAGCGGTGAAATGGTCGAGTCGACAGCCCCTAGCCGACTTTTCGAGGAATATCTCCGAATCTGAGGGAGATAGCAAAATTTTCATAAAGACCTTTTTTATAGAGCGAATTAAGGGCTACAAAAAAGGTCTTAACAAAAATTTTGCTATCTCCCTTGGATTCCGAGATATCGATTGAAAACTAACATTCAAAATTGACTGAGACCATTTTACCGCTTTGCTGAGTTTTCGAGGAATATCTCCGAATCTAAGGGAGATAGCAAAATCTTCTTGAGGACCTTTTTTATAGAGCGAATTAAGGGCTACAAAAAAGGTCCTAACAAAAATTTTGCTATCTCCCTTGGATTCCGAGATATCGATTGAAAACTAACATTCAAAATTGACTGAGACCATTTTACCGCTTTGCTGAGTTTTCGAGGAATATCTCCGAATCTAAGGGAGATAGCAAAATCTTCTTGAGGACCTTTTTTATAGAGCGAATTAAGGGCTACAAAAAAGGTCCTAACAAAAATTTTGCTATCTCCCTTGGATTCCGAGATATCGATTGAAAACTAACATTCAAAATTGACTGAGACCATTTTACCGCTTTGCTGAGTTTTCGAGGAATATCTCCGAATCTAAGGGAGATAGCAAAATCTTCTTGAGGACCTTTTTTATAGAGCGAATTAAGGGCTACAAAAAAGGTCCTAACAAAAATTTTGCTATCTCCCTTGGATTCCGAGATATCGATTGAAAACTAACATTCAAAATTGACTGAGACCATTTTACCGCTTTGCTGAGTTTTCGAGGAATATCTCCGAATCTAAGGGAGATAGCAAAATCTTCTTGAGGACCTTTTTTATAGAGCGAATTAAGGGCTACAAAAAAGGTCCTAACAAAAATTTTGCTATCTCCCTTGGATTCCGAGATATCGATTGAAAACTAACATTCAAAATTGACTGAGACCATTTTACCGCTTTGCTGAGTTTTCGAGGAATATCTCCGAATCTAAGGGAGATAGCAAAATTTTCGTGAAGACCTTTTTTATACAGTAAATTGAGGGCTACAAAAAAGGTCATGACAAAAATTTTCCCATCTCCCTTAGATTTCGAGATATTCATTGAAATCTAGCATTCAAAATCAACTTAAACCACTACTAATTTTATTCATCACCTGCATTCCTTGATTGACGCAATTAATTAATAAAAATTAATTGAGTGATGATTTCTATGATCCCTATTCACAATAGACTATAATTATTCATTATGGCTTTCGGATGGAGAATAATTAACGGCCCCTCACGCAATTTTCCAGCTAAAAAAATTGAGTGATTGCATGACGAAGAGATTCTCCATCGGAATTATCTATCAAACGGGATAAAACTCGTGTCGCGGACGTGTGTCCCACTCAATAGTACTTGCATTTACGAGGGATAAGTACAGGGTGCGGAAGGGGGAGGGGGTGGCAGATCGAGTGAGGGACGTTGACGTGTGTTCACGACAATTGACTGGCATGGCCCAAGTGCTGGGAAACGATCGCCTGTTCGAATGGTACAAGTGGGATTTTCGTGAAAGGAGTGTGACACGGTGAGGGACAAGCGAAAGCTCCTGATGCTTTCAACTGTCGCTCTATGCACACATAACAGGTACAAGCTCCCCCGGCCGCCCTTGTCTATCTATCCCCCCCCCCCCCCCCCCCCCCCCCCCCCCCCCCCCCCNCCCCCGCCGCCGCCGACTCTCGAATCAATTCTGAAGAAGCGGCGGCTGCCGGTGACGGAAGACACTTCGGGCTCTGTTTGAATGCCAGAGCGATTGACAGGAGCTCCAGTCACTCGGGAAATCGCGGAATAAAAAATTTATTCGGAGCACAATGTGGAGGAAAAAAACATGCGACTTTGGGTCTGAAATCATTGACATCTTTGAATGACTAGGGCGATCCAGAATTTTTCTTGCGCTTTATTTGAGAAATTGACGAATTTTTTCTCTCAATTCTCTATTGAGACAACCACTCAAAATGACCCAAGTTCGTTGGTGAATTCCCATTCCATATTCTTCACGTGTAAAATGAAGGAATCCACCGGCAAATAAAAATAATTCAAAGAATGAAGAATCATTTCTCATTCTAACTTTGCTGAGACAATCCCTGAAAATGACCCAACAAAATTCACAGACCCACCTAAATTTCTAGTCCCTTTTCAAAAATTTCTTCTTTGAATTAATCAACTAAACCCTGTTTTACCCTCATTTTAATGAAAACCAGGTGAATTAATTTGTGGCTCTCCTGTGTTACAGTTTGAGGACAGAGCAGCCGAGTGGTTTAGACACGTACGGTGTGAGACAGGAGCTGAGCAGAGCTCTGGATCTCTGGGCGAGAAATTCAAAGCTGACGTTTCAGGAAGTTAACAGCGACCGAGCCGATATTCTCATCTATTTTCATCGGTGAGTTAATTGCTCCCTCTCCACCGCAATTTTTCACCCAATTTTTCCCCTCAAAAATCCCCCAACAAATTCATTTTTCCATTTTTCACGAGCAGACCGTTATTTTTTTTTTTTTTCAATTTATCGGAATTATTTTATCTCGATCAATTAACGTATCTCCCTCATGTAAACCCGAGATAATTGGATTAATAATCGAGCTGATAGCAGCGCAAATGCTGACGAATTGACCGCACCGTAAACTCCATTAATTATCAATTTATTCCACCGATTTTTCGTATGTTCAAATATTTAATGTTTAAACATGCGAAAACGGTGGATTACCCACGATTTAAACGCGCGCATACAGCCCTGGGAATTAACTCAATTACAAAAATACTTGATAATTCACTGGTGAATTGAGTGCCACCTGCATTTCCTTTGTTATTTGGTCCGTAAACACGATAAATTCCACTGGAAATTCCGAATCCACCCGGATTATTATGCTCGGCATAAGTGAATTTCATTGATAATGAGTTTCACTATTTCGGACATTTGTGTCAATCAATACGTGCATTTAAATAACGGAATATGGCTGGACGTTCGAGTTTTAGATTTATTGGATGGTGAATTCTTCAGTGATGACGCAGGGGGATGAGGTTAAAATGGGACACATGAAAAAATATTTATTTGGCGCAAGTTAGGAAATTTTTTTCTTTAGTTGAGGGTTAAATGAGGAAATGTCAGGCCATGTTTTTTTTATTTGAGGGTCAAGAGTAACCATTGAGGGGCATTTGACCTCAACTGAAATAAAAATATCAATTTTTTTTTGTTTTTAGTTGTGGGTCCAGTAAATTTGAGGGTGAATTGACCCATTAAAAGGGTTTAAGTTGCGAGTCAAATGATCTTGAGGGTCAAAAACCCCCAAGAACGTTCAGGGGTGAGGGTCAAATGGTCTCAAGAGCCGACTAACCCTCAACTAAAAAAACAATATAAAAAAATGAACTAAAAACCAAAAAAAAATCAGTAAATTGTTATTTTGTTTTTATTTAAGCGTCAAATGAATTCGCAAGTCAAACAATCCTTACCAACCTTTCGTGTCAATTAGGAAAAAAAATCCCGAACAAAAAAAAATCCTGAACTAAAAAGCTTCATTCCCCCAAGCCAAAAAAAAATTGATGCGAATCCTCATGGAAGCCCCCTCACCCCACCAATTTTTTTTCATCAACATTGTATTGACACTGAACCCCCGACATTCTCCCAGAAATTCCCTGAATAGAATTAATGGCTCTACATAACCTATAAACAAACTAGCAATGGAGGATGACCGCGTATAAATTATAATTTCGAATGTTACGGACAATGGGGGAGTAATTTTCAGTGGTGAATGTCGTGTGTGGAGGATTTTGTGAGGTTCACCCCAACTGTGACCTCCTCACCC